AGGCGGGGGGGTGGGGGGGGACCAGGAGCCGCGCTTACCGCCTTTCAGGTCAGCGGATGCCCCCACGTACTGAAAGTTGTCCATATTGATGACGTCGATGATGGGGGACACGACCCGAGTCCTGTCCTGAAACACAAATGCGCAAAAGACAGGAGTAGGTAACACAAACAGAACAAAGGATCCCACCCCACAAAAGGCAGGCATTCGTGGCAGGCAGTTTCAGTGAAACCCACCGCCTGCCATCGCTAACCACGCTGTGCTCCAGGGGACCTTGGGGCCCCCCCATCCAACGCGCGCGCCCTGCCCTCAGCCGTCCCGTGGACGGGCCCTATTCTGTGCCGAGCAAGGTCGAGGGTGAGCGGGCAGAGAGAATCACTCCCTGAGAGGAGGCAGCCGTGGGCACGGGGTGCCTCAGGCGTTTGCTGCCCCGGCTGGAGGCAGGGACCGTGCCAGGGTCCCCAGCGCGCTCTTCCGTTTTCCCTAATGTCCAAACGCCGACCACGGGGCTGCTTTCGTCCTGACAGAATCTAAGCTCAGCTGCACTGAAACATCAGAACTGTGAGCCGCGGCCTTGGGAGTGGACTCCTGGCCGAGACACCCACACGGCAACGCAAGGGCATGAGCAGAGTGACCGAGTATTATTTCGGCAGAACGGAAGCCAAGTCGGCTAGAGAATTCCAGACCCTACGCAGGTCTTACCGGTGATTTCTACCAAACAAGAACATTTTTTCCCTTAGATGGAGGCATTTCTTTTTTTTTTTTTTTTTTTTAATTTTTTTTTCAACGTTTATTTATTTTTGGGACAGAGAGAGACAGAGCATGAACGGGGGAGGGGCAGAGAGAGAGGGAGACACAGAATCGGAAACAGGCTCCAGGCTCCGAGCCATCAGCCCAGAGCCTGACACGGGGCTCGAACTCACGGACCGCGAGATCGTGACCTGGCTGAAGTCGGACGCTTAACCGACTGCGCCACCCAGGCGCCCCAATGGAGGCATTTCTTTATGCCGCGGTTATTATTCTGGTAAGAGTTTGTGAACATAAGGCCTTTTAACCTTCCTGCCCTCTTTCAAACGAGATGCTTGATGCTGGGGAGAGGCGCTGCCCCACGCGGCTAGTTAACGGAAGAGGAAGTGCTGTCCTCCAGCCGTTTACAGAACCCGTGTTAACCAGAGCAAAGACTTCGAAAAACAAATTGGTAACAGAATCAGCAGAGCTAAGAGCCTAATACATCAGAGGAACACGTAAAAGAACAGTATAAAGTTCTGACATCACCCAGGAGCGAGTTTACGGGACACAAAACCCCGTGCGCTGAGAAGGGAGAATCAAGTCTTCCCTTGCCTGGTCCGGACCTGGGGATGGGCACCAAATAGCATAATTTGCTCTCCTTCTCAGTCCACTTCTTTTGTTTTGACTTCTTTTTTTTTTTTTTAAGTTTATTTTGAGAGAGAGAGAGAGAGAGTGTGAGCAAGAGAGGGGCAGAGCGAGAAGGAGAGAGAGAGAATCCCAAGCAGGCTCCAAACTGTCAGTGCAGAGCTCAACACGAGGCTCGAGCCCACAAACCGTGAGATCGCGACCCGAGCCGAAATCCAGAGTCAAACGCTCAACTGGTTGAGCCCCCCAGGCGCCCCTTGACCTCTTCTGATAGGACTGGAATTGGCGAGAGTTGCAATTTTCCACTCCTGTCCTCAAGAGAGAGTATTTGAAAGAATTCTGACAGTTTGATGGCAGAAACCTGCGGTCTCCACACACGCTAATATCTTGGCTGTGGCCGTGTCCTCTGCGACCAAGGAGGAGTCTGGTTGTGTGAGAACAGGCCTGGAGAGGACGGGATTCCAGAGGGTTCTTCTCTCGGCTAGGTGCATGTATAGGTGTAAGAGGGCTCAGTGAGAGGGGATGCAGCAGAAACTGCTTTGCAACCCTGGCTGTGTCTCCTGCATGAACTTTGGATGTGTTATTAAACACGTTAACCCCCAGGTTCCTCGTGGGGCAAATGGGGTCAATACGTAATTTATCTAACACATAGTTAGCGCTCGGTGAACAGTCCCGAATATCGTAGTATCACTAATAACTGGGACACGGAGTCAAGATCATCAATACCGTCATAACATCATCATCACTGGGAGCTTGTGGTTATTGAGTATTTCATGATTCAGTGCCCCTCAGCTACCCATGTCACACATGACTCGTAAAAGGCCTCACTTTTTCGTTTCCGATTTCTCCAGTACTTCCGTTAGGTTCGCTTTATCACCCCAAAGAAACCCTTTCTCAGTACGGAGAAAAGAAAAGTCAGGAAAGCAAGCAAAAGGCAAGCGAAATGACAAAAGGCCGAAGGTAATACCAGTGATGACGTTTCTAGCGACAGAGGTACACAAATTGCACCCCGGGGCACCCTGACAGCCTCTAACGGTCAACTGTGTGCTCACGGGCACCCCGTTCCGCCACGAGCCGGCAGGCTGGGCTCGTCGGCGAGCAGCATGGCTGGAGGTGGCCAGCCTGCCCTCCCGGCCCTCTGGAGGCGGCGATGGCTCATCAGCCGCTCCGAGTGCACTTGCTGGACGCCGAGCGCTGTCCTCAGCGCTCGGCCCCTCCTGAGCTCAGAGAGAAGGCAGACCCTCCTAAGAGGAAAGGGACCGTGGGAAACTGATCAGGCTCTCGCCAGCCTCCGCCGCTCCTCGCCTCCGACTCATCAAAGTGGTTTTCTCTCCAGTGATAAGATTCCTACAGCGAACGGAATATTCTTGGAGCGGTTGTGCCAGAGGCACGTTTCCCCCCCTCCCCTTTTCAGCACGAGCCCCGGGCCTCACCTCAGCCACCCTCTCCAGGAGGGGCTCCAGCCAGTGGTCGTTGCACTCACAGTGGCTGTCCAGGAACGTCAGGACCTTGGCCTGGGCCGCATCGGCCCCCCGGACCCGTGAGCGCATCAGGCCTGCGGGAGTGATTTCAAAAGCGCATCAGAGTATCTGAGAAAAAGGCAACAAAACAGCACATACAGCATTGACATCCCCCTGCCGCCCCCTCTTGCCGGGCACAGTCTAGTACAGAGTTGGGGGGCAGGATCAACCCTGCCCTGTGGTTACCAAGACAGGCTTCTGTCAGGATCTCCGTTCCTAAGTTCATTGGAGGACGAGGAAGGCAACTTTCTGAGAACGACTGCCCTCTGAGTCAGGCCCTTAAGAACCTGAAGTCTCCTTTATCAAGCAACTGAAACGTGGAACTTTTCCGACTACCTTCTTCTGACGCAGCAACAGTTTTCTCCTTAACTGGGGCAAGGGAGGTGTTACTCGGACACCTTCAGGCGCTGGTGGTACCGATTTTAATGGCGATGACGTAACGCTAAGGGTGCTGCAAATATCTTTGCCTGTCCAAGACCTACCACAGCCGAAGAACATCGGTGGCAAATCCCGGCTGACCGGGTTTCACAGAAAATTAGTTCCACGACAGGTCAAATTTCCACAGTTTACGTACTGTGGTCTGCTAATAATATGGATCTTTTACTATCACACCAAGTCTTTTTTTTTATTTTTTTTTTTATTTTTTTTAGAATTTTTTTTTTTTCAACGTTTATTTATTTTTGGGACAGAGAGAGACAGAGCATGAACGGGGGAGGGGCAGAGAGAGAGACACAGAATTGGAAACAGGCTCCAGGCTCTGAGCCATCAGCCCAGAGCCCGACGCGGGGCTCGAACTCACGGACCGCGAGATCGTGACCTGGCTGAAGTCGGACGCTTAACCGACTGCGCCACCCAGGCGCCCCATATCACACCAAGTCTTATCACAAGTCGTATCTCTGTCACTGGATGACGCGGTCATAAATGGCCTTTGCTGTGTATGCCGGGCTTTCCGCAGTGTCCCCTGTCATGATTACCCGTGGTTGTGCATGTCACAATTTCAGGTACCTGTGGTCAACTGAGGTCTGGAAGCCAGGGGATCCTCCTTCTGACACATCATCAGAAGGTCAGCAGTAGCCTAACGTTATGTCACAAGTCTGTGTCATCCCCCTCCCTTCATCTTATCATGGGGGCATTTTATCACCTCACATCATCACAAGAAGGGTGAGGATGGAACGATAAGATATTTTGAGAGAGAGAGACCACATTCATGTAGCTTTTATACAGTATAGTTATAAATGTTCTATTTTATTATTAGTTATTATGGTTTATCTCTTACTCTGCCTAATTTATAACTTACACCTTGCTGGAGATACGCACGTATAGGGAAAAAGTTTATTCAGGGTCCCTTACTATCCGTGGTTTTAGGCGTCCACTGGGGGGTCTTAGAACGTATTCCTGTGGATAAGGGGGCACAACTGTATATGAAGATGATGTGACTATTCACGACCCGTGAGGACAGCGTTTTCAAGTTCCTTTATACAGAGTAGTCAAAATGGGTTTTCAATGATTCTTCTAGATCGGCATGCTACGGGAGGGGGAAAAAAGATAAAGACTTCTAGTTCTGGTAATTGCAAAGTCGAGAGTCTTAGCTTGTATTAGACAAGCTCTTGCTCAGAGAAGAGTTATAAACTCTGACCAAAAGAGAAAAAGCAAGAATCGGAAAGGGCCAGACAGCAGTGAGAAGCAGGCAGAAACTGGAGGGGATTCAATCCCTGAAAGGAGAAAAATCACAGGGAGTGAAGCCCAGGGGTGTGTGGTGTTTCTCCCGAGGTTACGCCACGACCCGCTGCAACACAGCCTTTTTGGCTGGAGGTGTCAGAGGACAGAGTTCAGGGTTTCGAGAGGGGCTAGAAACTGAAAGGAGGAGATCCCGGAAAGGAGGTTTGTTCGTCTCAAATCTGGAGATAACCTCCTCATAAATGCTCGGCTGACTCCTGAACTTCAGGCACAAGGGAGACCCCGCGGAGTCCGTGAAAAGAAACAATCAGAAGGCAGAGAGAACTGAGATTTCAGCCGGTAACCACCACGGGACACACAGTTTGGCACAGGGCTCCCACCAAGTTAGAAGGGCTGGGTCATCTTTGAGGCTCCCCAGCCGATTCTAATAAGCAGCCAGATGAAGTCACTGGCACATTAAAACCCCCACTAAACAAACCGAAGGCCGTTCCTTCGCTGCCATAATGTTTCAGGCAACTGATTTTCTCTGACATCTACGAAGAATTACGAAGCACCTGTATAGATGTTCAAGTACATGGGAGACATACATGCACACACGGACACCCAAGCGCACACATACATTCCCGTGTGTGCTTTTTCTCACTCAGTACCACCTGCTTCATTTGCTTACAGGTTTCCTTCCCACACTCTGTCTTCCCACAGCGGCCCCTCCCCCTCCCTTTCCAGAACAAAGCATCAGCTCACGTTCTCAACCAAGTGAACATCCTAACTTAAAGCACTCAGAGGCACTGATGTCTAAGGTTAAACTCTGACAAGGCCAGCAAGTGATCTGTCAGTTATAAAATGCCACCATGAAAAATAATTTCTTTCTTTTTCCTCCTCTTCTTCTTCTTTTTTCTTTCTTTCTTTCTTTCTTTTTTTTTTTTTTCTCCTTGTGCTACCAGGCACTTTGGGTTTCAGTTCAAAAAGTTATCATGCAGTTTGTTTGGGGGCACATGTAATGCAAGATTTCGGTTTGACCTCAAGGTTCTGGCTTATTCTAAGCTTGGGAGATAGATGCGAGTCCAGCAAATAGAGCTTCCCAAGGGCAGGGCTGATGCCACTGTTTATGTATCTTGAACCTGAGCAACGATGATCTTGGTTGGTTAAAACATGGTGCTGATGGCACTCTCCTAATAGGCTCAATCACTTTATCGCTGATGAAATTCCTGCTAAGAAAAGCTGCCCGGATTGACTCTGACCGGGCTGCACGGGAACCGGAAGGAAGAGTATATACACTGATCAGAGAATACAATCACCACTCCAGGATCAGCGGAGTCATCTTCAAATAACTAAGATGGCATGTTTTTTTTTTTTTTTTTTTTT